GGTTGTCCTGGAACTTAGAGATCTGCCTGCCTCTCTGCCTCGTGAGTGCTGCGATTAAAGGAATGAGCCACAACTGCCCAGTAGATAAAGGATTCTTAATGGCTAATACTTTGCATCCAGCACTTTACTTTGAACATGTTGTTTTGCTGCCTTCCAGCATGGTAGAGTAACTCTCTTCAGCACTGTTCTGATTATTCCATAGGTGACAGAAGGTATCACATGGGTCATTTGGAAATACTTAGAAGTAAGTGAAAATGAGACAGTCATTCCCTAACATCAAATTGAACCCCCTAAGCTTGCATCTTAACAATGTGTAAAGGAGTAAATTACACCAAAAAGAAGTAGGAAGAGGGAAATAATAATAAAGCTATTTGGAAGTCAACAACTGCAAAATAAATAACAGAGAAGACTGCTAAAAGCAATCCCAGCTCTCTGGAAAGACCAGTAAGATTGATGAACCTTTAGAAAATAGAAAATAAGATTTCCAGGAACAAAGGGGGGCTATTACTACATATTTTTAAAATTGTATTAGAATATCACCAACTTTTTGTATCCCACTTGATATAGGTAACTACTTAGAAAACACAAATTAGCAACACACATACAAAACACTATTCTGTGTCTCAGAGAGAAATTGATCTTGTTATTCACAGCACACAAGCCTCAAGCCAGATGGCTTTGCTGGTTAGTGAGAAATAGTACCAGAAGCAACACATTCATTGGTATTGCAGAAATTGCTAGAAAACAGAGCAACTTTTTCTTGTCCAGTCAATGGGTTTAACATTAACACTGATAGAAAATTTGATATAAAGAAGCTGGCAATGGTGGCTCAGTCTAATCAGAGCATTTGGGATCTCTGTGAGTTCAGCCTGGTCTACAGAGTGAGTTAACACTCAGAGATACACAGAGAAACCCTGTCTCAAATAAACAAGCAACAACAAAACTTTAAGAAAACTAGTGTCGGGCTGGAGAGATGGCTCAGCGGTTAAGAGCACTGACTGCTCTTCCAGAGGTCCTGAGTTCAATTCCCAGTAACCACATGGTGGCTCACAACCATCTGTAATGAGATCTGGTGTGTCTGAAGACAGCGACAGTGTACCCACATATATGAAATAAATAAATCTTTAAAAAAAAAGAAAAAGCTAGTGTCTCTTATGAACATATACGCAAAAATCCTTAATGCTATATTAGTAAATAAAATTCAGCATTATGAGATGGGTGTTGTTTTACAATTATCTCAAGTTTACTACAGGAAGGCAAAATAAAATAAGCATAGAATATATATGTGCCAAGGTACTTGTATCTGGAAAATATAAAGAATTCATGGCATTTATTAAAAGCAACTCAATACTGGACAGGACATGGAACCCAGCACTTGGGAGACAGAGGCAAGTGGATATCTATGAGTCTGAGACCAGCTTCATTCATAGAGAAACTTTCAGGTCAGCCAGGATGACATAATGAGACCCTTCCTCAATAAACAAACAAACAAACTCAATATTGCCAGGCAGTGATGGGACATGCCTTTAATCCCAGCATTCAGGAGTCAGAGGCAGGTAGATGTCAGTGAGTTCAAGGCCAACTTGTTCTGTAAAAGTAAGTTCCAGGACAGCCAGGACTACACAGAGAAACCCCTGTCTTGAAACAAAACAAAACAAAACCAAAAGGGAACAAAAGACTAATGTTAAAGTGGACAAAATATTTGAATAAACTACATAAATGAAAATATACACATGAAAAAAATGCTCAGTGTCATTAGTTACTAAAAAAGCGTTACGGTCACAATGAGGTACAACTAAGTCCTTAGTAGGATGATTGAAATAAAAAAGACTATTAATATCTAGTATTGATTAGGGTATGAAGCAAGTGAATACATTGCCTGTTCTGTGGCACATCCACTTTGGAAATATGCTAGCAATTTCTTATAAAGCAAAACATACAATTTCCACAGGACCCACATTTACCTTCCTGTGTGCTTACCAAAGAGAAATGAAAACATATCCACACTAAGACTTCTACACACATGTGTGTGACAGTCCATTTAGTGACAAATGGAATTACCAATTGGATGGAACAACACATCGATCCACAAAACAAATACAGTTCATCAATCCTCACACACAACAATATAGATGAGTCTCAAAAGTATTGTATGACTTTGAAGGTCTGGGCTGCCTTTCTCTACACAACTTTCCTCTACTTCCCTCTTTGATAGTGACGCACTAGTGGAGCCTGAGCAGATCGAGTCTGGCTTCATCCAGTGGCAGGCTG